TTCTGTCCCCTGTCTATTCCCACCTCTACATTTTCCTTAGCTTTAATCAAAGCTTTGCTTGCACAGTCTCCTATATAAATATTATGTATCCATTAAAAATTGTACTTAGGAATGTTTTTGATGACATGGAGAAAAGTCAATATTTAATTATTTACTTCATTGAACAAACATCTATGGTGCCTATTTGTCCCATGCATTATGCTAGGTGCAGAGGGCATAATCTTGAATGAGACAGGCCCCTGCCCTCATGGAGCTTACATTCTATTGGTAATCTTATTAAATAAGAAAGAAAAACAGAATCCTGCTATAATAAAAAAGAGATAGGATCAGAATGATGTTGGATTGGTTTTAGAGGAAGAGGGTCATGTATGGCCATTACTTCCAGGTAATGTAAACCTTGATCCAAAGTGATAGTGAACATTTGAAAAGGCCATCTACTTTTGGAAAAGTCCACATTAATATACCATCAGCAGACCTCAGAATTATACTTTCCCTTCAAATGAATAACAAATCAGTGGCAAATCTCCAGAAATCACTTTGTGTTTGTTGAAAAAGTTAATTTTATAACTTTATTTTCATCATCCAAAATTATTTCTTGAATCCCAGCTAAGTCCTGAGATCAATGTTATTAACACTTTTTGGTAAATTTTGAATCAATTCAATAAATATTTCTCCAGTCCCTGATTACCTCTCCACCCTCATCAATCCTCACTTTTCTTCCCACTCTGTGCTTCAGCCAGCTGAAGTCCTTTCAATCCCAAATTTGTGTGAGGCATATTCCCATCTCCAGGCCTTTGCACATGCTGTTCCCCATACCTAGAACACCCTTCAGTCAACTTCTCTCTCCCTTCATCTGTCCATCTTGTACTCATCTTTAGATCTCAGCTTAGATGGATTTCTCTTTCTCAAGGAAGCTTTTCCTGACTCCTCAGGAATTTATTGCACATGCCAGCTCTCCTACCTATTTGGTAAAGCAAGGCTTGCTTTAGCATTTCTTCCAAGTCTAATTTGGAGGACCTGGCTGTTTCTCTTTAACATGTTACCATTCTAAGTATTTTCCTATATGTTCCAGGTCACCATGAAAAAGGATAGTGTGAAGTGATAAGAGTTCTCATCTTATCATTCGATTTCATTCCCTTTGTGATGATTCTGTGTGCAAAAGCGTAATAAGAAAAACAAACATGATTACTCGTGATCAGACATTTCTAATTACACAAGCCAATTAAGGTTCAATTACTACTGTACTTTTTAATGCAATTAAGGTAATACGTGTTCAGTGTGGATTATGGGATACTGTGCGACACAGGCATTATGTTTTAATACCTTCTCATTATACTGGTTTAACTTCTTCAAGAATGAAGAGCGTTTTGATCCAGATATACCCACTTCCACACTTATTGGGAGGCGCCTACTGCCTATGCCAACGGTCACTCCCCATGACCTAGACTTTTCATTTTTTACTTTAGAAAGAAGGCTATTTGCATTATCATAGAGCTCTGAGGAGATTTGTGTATCAGCCAGGGCCTGGAAAGAAACAAACAGAAGTCAGCCTTATGCACACAGAGCTTCCATTCAATGTTTAAATCCCTGCTTTGTAAACTATCTAAAGTTTCACTGTTGTGGAGAAATATGTTAAAAGATTAATCCTGGCATCAGATTGTTATTTGCTAAAATACAGAAAATACAGCAGTGTTCTCGATATGGACAAGTTGTTGCCATTGTTGTTAGCTGCTGTTGAGTCTGAAGAGTAGAACTGTTCCACTGGTTTTCTAGGCTGTGACCTTTTGGAAGCAGATCACCAGGCCTGTCTTCTGAGGCACCTCTGGGTTGGTTTGAACTGCCAACCTTTCAATTTGTAGCTGAGCATTCAACCATTTGTCCCGCCAAAGGAATGCTCCCATATGGTCATAAAAAAACAAAAAACAAACCTGTTGCCATCAAGTCGATTCCGACTCATAGAGACCCTGTAGGACAGAGGAGAATTGCCCCATAGGGTTTCCAAGGAGCAGCTGGTAGAATTTGAACTGCTGACCTTTTGGTTAGCAGCCATAGCTCTTAACCACTGCATCACTAGGGCTCCATCGATATGATCATAGCATTGTTAAAATATTTATTTATAAACTCAGATGTATACAGAGATGGTTCTGATAAAATACTATATTGTTCTGGGCCTGGACTTCTTTATGGCTGGCTTATCCTTCCTGTTTCTGAAGGAGCCCTGGTGGCTCAACAGTTAAGCACTCTGCTACTAACCAAAAGGTTGAACCCAACCAGCAGCTCTGCAGGAGAACTGATGATCTGCTCCCATAGAGATTACAGCCTAGAAAACCCTATGGGACAGTTCTACCCTGTCACATGGTGTTGTTATGAGTCAAAAATTGACTCGATGGTACCTAGCTACAACATCTTTCCTGTAGGGAAGGATGCTTGCCTCTGCAATGGTGAGAAACAGAAGGCCAAGTCTGAGTGTGAACCTAGGAGGAAAGGGGGAAAGGAAGCTTTTCAGATTATGCCTGTTCTTGGCAGTGGTTTGCTTTAGTGTTGTTCACAAATGTTTGGTTATTTCATTTCAGGCACACGGTGTAATTGCAGTTCTCTGCCAACTTGCACTCAGGTACTGTCTTGTGGCTTGCTTGAGCCGATGAAGTAAGCCTTAAGAGTCTGTGAGTGGTTCACTGTGCAACTGAGGAGCATGTGTGGAAATGAAGCTTCCATTAGTTTGGGTCCCTGAGTATCTAATGATGATCTGTTTTCTTTCCACCTTAGGATGGACAAATACCATACGTAGGACATTGTTGTTTTAAGCCACTGAGTTCTGATGATTCGTTGTTACCACAGTGTAACCTAGTCTATTTTGACTGACACATAGGCCCTGGACCTTTCTCAAGCTTAGGAAAATGACGTTACTGTGTCTTCCAGCATGGCTCACCATAGGCCTGATATGGGATGTGTTTGTGGGGGTGAGGCAAATATCTTAAAAATAGACTCCATGAGCCTGGCTTATCCTATGTCAATCTATTTCTCTTGAGAAACTTGTAGGGAGGAGGGCTCTGACCAGATAGCTGTTCGCAATCCTGGAACCCTGCCATCTCTTTCTATAAATATAATATGTCAATAACATCCTCCCTTCTAAATGACGTATGTTGTTGTTGTTGCTGGCTGCTGTCAAGTTGTTCGCTGACTCATGGTGACCCCATACACAACAGAACAAAATGCTGTCCAGTCCTGCACCATCCCCATGATCAGTTGTGGATTGGACTATTGTGATCCATAGAGTTTTCTGTGGCTGAGTTTTGGAAGTAGATTGTCAGGCCTTTCTTCCTAGTCTGTCTTAGTCCTGAAGCTCCACTAACACCCGTGCAGCATCGTAGCAACATGGAAGTCACTAGTGACAGATGAATAGTAGCTGAGCATTGGGTGCACTGGCTAGGAGTCAAAGCTGGGTCTCCTGCATGGAAGGATAGCCTGGGTTTAGTTCAGGCAAGTGTGGATTTGAATTTTGTCTCTGCCACCAATAGCAGTATCATTTCGAGCCTGACACTTTCTTGCTTTAAGTCTATGGGTTTTGTTTATTTGTTTGTTTTTTAATTTCTAAAATGCAACAATAATAGCTATCCCACTGTGTTATAAGGAGAATTAAATGTGGGAATTTATGTGGAAGTAGAAGACCAGACACATGATACTCAATAAAGTTTGTTGTACGGCCCTCACACCCAGAGGATGAGGGGTGAAGAAATGAATGGTCATGAGCAGGTTCTGGTACTCATCGTGAGCCACCTGGGCTGATGGATTTGAACTGCCAGCCTTTTGCTTAGCAGCCGAGCTCTTAACCACTTTGCCACCAGGGCTTCATGTGACCAGGATACCACAGCATGTCAGAGATGGAGGGGCCCTTAGGGGCCATCAACATTTTGCAAGCATTTTAAACAGCAGAATCCTTTCTCCAACCTAAATCATATATGAAAACCAAGATATGAAAGTGATCGGTGTGGGGCTGCTGTTGCTAAAGTGAGGGCATAGATCTCAGAACCCTCCCAGCCACCTTCTGTCCTACCTCCCTCCGGGGCCCAGGGAGTGGAGTGAGTTGCTCAAGATATCAGATAGCTAAATTCTAACAGAGCCACGACTTGGAAATAGATCTTCTGACTTGCAGCCCACAGAGTAGGACCCCAGATCTATTCTATTGATTTTGAAATAAAAGCCAAGATTCAGCACAAGTGGGCAGCCACATTTACATCATGCCTCTCACTGGCCCTGCCCTTGCCTCTCAGCACACTTTCACACAGAGTATCTGTAGAGGCTAGTGAAAAGGGTCTGCAGTCGCCAACAAACTCTATTGGATATAAAAGCTCCTAAAGCAAGGCATCTCCGTCAACAGGCCTTTCCCTCCCTGCCACCCACCCTACAGTGGCCTATGAATATCCCTGTTCAGACTTACTTCAAAATGGTACTTCAGAAAGTTGTAGGGTTTCCGAAAGTACTTCTCATCGTCTCCATAGTAGAGACGCTCACAGGCGGGGTCATATCGAAGCTCCCTCCATTCCCCATTGTATACTGTCTCACACTGGCCCCCATAATACCTGGCGTCGTACACACTCTGAGTTTCTTCCTGGGTCAGGATATTATACCTAAATTGAAAAAGTAACATCTGGGAGAGAGCATTGGAATGGCCAAAACTGCACAGAAGGTCATCCCCCGGAAGACGTCATGGTAAGTGGTTCAAGCAGCTGTTTTGCAGACTATATTCTGTGGAGTCTGAGGATTCCTCTAGGTACCTGAAGGGCCACTTTGGGTAACAATGGGAGACTGAGTTGGCTGGGTGCGGGGCCTCCAGTTTCCCTTCAAGGACAGCAGCCAGAAAACTCCATCTTACATCTAGAACAGTATTCTCATACAGGAGACACTCCTAAATATTTGTTGAATAAATTAGAGAGACAATTTGCACAGTGACCAAGAGTTCAGGCACAGGAGTCAGACTGAGCCCATTTCCCAGCTCTACCACGTGTGTGACCTTGGACAAATCATTTAACTTTTCTGTGTATCCATTTAGTCATTTACAGAAAGCAATTAATATGGAAGCAAAAAGCCAGATAATAACAAGTGTTGGTGAAATTTGGAGAAATCAGAATCCTCTTACACTACTGGGGGGAATGTAAAATGGTGCAGCTGCTTTGGAAAAGAGCCTGGAAGTTCCTCAGATGATTAAACGTAAGAGTTACTACATGATCTAGGAACTCTACTCCTAGGTATGTACCCAAGAGAAATGAAAACGTGTCCACACAAAAATTTGTACATGCGTGTTTTTAGCAGCATTATTCACAATAGCCAAAAGGTGGAAACAACTCAAATGCCCATCAGTGAAGCAATGGATGAACAAAATGTGATCTATCCATTCAATGGAATACTATTTGGCCATAAAAAGGAAGGACATACTGATTCA